GTCACAGGGAAGGAGCGAGCACTTTTGCAATAATGCAAAAGACTTACCCTTCACTTTTGTCTCCACCTCCCTAGAGGGTGGGTGTGTTTCTGGATTATGAAGAGAGGCAGGTGTCATTCTTCTTTACAGGAAAGGTTTAATCCATATATGACCCTTGCTGGGTCACAGAAAAGAGAAGAGTTTTGAATAAAAATAAAACAAAACAAGTAAAAAACTAGTTTGAACAGCTCAAGCAAAAGATGTAGAAATCAATTATCAATTTATCTCAAATCACAAAACTTATCCATGAAAAATTACATAAAATATTTCTGCTAATGTCCTTTTGAAGCATGAATTGAGCATTATGTTTCAGTGGGGCATGTCAAATTGGACTAATGGACTGTAGGCATTGTCATACATCCTGTGAAGCTGCCATCAGCAGCTGATCACCTTAGCAATACGACTAGAAAGAGCCAGACTCTAACTAACATCTTTATTAAAACAATCATAAAACCTAAAAAGGTAAATTGATGCCTGTGTGTACAGACAGGCTCTAGATTAAAGGAAAAATCTGAGCTCTTTATGTCTACACTGTTGGAATCTGCTGGTGTTGTTTTGTTGTTGAGGGCATTTTGCTCCTGTAATCTGAGCCCTGAGGCCTGAGGAGCTTACAAGTCTGTATGGAGTTATTCTGACTTATGGCCTTTATTCTCTGATTAAACATTGTATGGTCCATAGGAATTGTCCATATGGCACGACTGGGTCACTGAATGGTTTGACGAATATCAAAATGTTGTAACTCAAATACTAATCTTCACAGTACCAGTTCGCCTTCTATTGATGTGAGATTTTTGAGTTCCAGGACTAGTTTGAAAGCTTCAGGGTGATTAATGACCAAAACAACAAACATAATCTTGCTAATAAGTACTACTTTCCACCAACAGTGAAGGACAAATCTCTACCCTAAGCCCCCAAAACAATAATAAATAAAAGTATAAGCTCACAGCTAACAAGACTACCATAATCCGCCAACTCTATTTCCAAACGTCCACGGTGACTGCACTTACACGAATCGCTCCAGACAATACACAGATCTAAATTGCAGACCTTTGCTGGGAGCAGAAGAAGAACTAGTAGATGTCAGCTGTTTCAAGAAGTTTAAAAGTCTGCTATCAACCAACAATCCAATCCAGAGAGAGCAAACTCATTGAAAGAGCCAATCACATGATTCCAACTGTGTCTGCATCATACAAAAACGTTCAAACACAGAGCCTAAAGGTAGGAGAGAGAGACCTGCACACACACACAGACAGTAATGGGAGGAAAGATAATATTACCAAATGATGTATGTACAGTATAATATAGACCAACCCCCCCCCCCAAAATGACTCAAAAACAAAAACACCCTCTGAGTTAAAGTTGTTGTTGTTTTTCTAACTTCTTTAGTATTTTTACCTTAGTATCAGTCTCAGCATTATTACAGTGCTAGTGATCACCTCTGTCTGAGACTTCTTGAAGAGCAAGTTTTTTGTGTTCTTGGCTTTTATACAGTGGCAGAAAGCCACAGAAAGCAGGGGCAGATCTCTGCAATGATAAAAATGCAACACCTTTGTTGGTTTAAGAGCTTTGCATATGCGCAGAGCAGGGCAGGAGAAATCACTGAGCAATAACAAAAGGAGGGTTTATGTGCGAGTCTGGGTGTGTCCCACTGAGAGTGGGAGGTCCACTACAAGTTTCAGGAAGAGTTCAACACCCGAGCTGTGTGATTCACAGCAAAGTACGTGAGGTGAAGGAGTGCACCGCTCGAAGTCAAAGGAAAACATGAGTGAGTTGTACCTGTTTTAACATAATCTTAGTGCTAGTTTCTTATCTAATGATAGGAACTTTATCCATGCTGACACTACAGGAGGTGTAGACAGACAGATGTCGGGAATTGACGGTACCTGACTTTTTACTTGCCTAGTTTAAATCTACATATGTTAAAAAACATTTTAGATTTGGGTAAAACTGAAACAGTGCAGATGTCGTGACGTATAGAGGTTGTTTGTCGTAGCAGATTTGGTGGAAAAGTTCATTTGGCTCATGCCTAAGCTTAACGTATGATGCAGGTGCAGAAGGTCCAGAATATCTGCATTCCTCAGATAGTTTCTCGCCCACAACAGGACACAGTGACACTGTTGCAGACACTTCCTTGTTTGTGGTGATACTTTCTCACTGGATGTCACATAACTGTTGTGTCTTCCTGGCTTTGTCTTACTTTGTTTTGAGGACAAGCTGTGGATCAGTTTAGGCCTTATTTTTGTTTGACACCTGTACTAGATTTAAAGTGGCAGTCGATTTTTTTTGCGTGTAATCAGAAATTCTAATTTCATTTTTACTGTTTTGTGCTTTGAACAATCAGTTTTTGAATTCGAGGTAACAGCAACAGCAAAATTAGGGAGTGTATTCTGGAAGTTAGACATTGGACAAAAAAAAGTTGCAGTGACTTTTAGTGCGAGGGTGGGAGATGATTCCACTGCCTCCCCATCCACTGCAGTTTATTATCTTAGTTTACTGCCATTTATTTGTGAGCGTGTGTCTTATAGATGAATAAGAAAATTGTGAATTGCATTTTTTTTTATATATAGAAACCTCAGAAATTCTAATCAGTTTACAAAATCACAAAAAAAGTAGAATACTTGAATTAGCCCTTTTCCCCCTACCTCTGAATGGAAATTTACCACCTCCTGACATAAGCCTCAGACAGATATACAGAGGTCAAAAAAAGAAAGAAATTATCAGCCAATCACTAAATGTCAGGTTTATGTCACAGCTACACTAAATGATACTGCACTGTACTGATAATGAATAATTGTTAATGTTTCTGTAATGTTTAATCAACCAGTTTGTGCAAGACCTTTAATAGAAATATCTTTCATGGTAAAATATATTATCCATGAATTTTATATTTTACTGTTATACAAAAAAGCAGAAAAAAGTAAAATAAATTGGATTTTTTACAAATGTATTTATGTATCCAATTACAGTTATTGACAGGTATTACTGAACATTTTAAATAGATTTCTAAAATATTTGTGTCTTCTAGTTTTTGTGACAGGTGGGTAATTTATTGAGCACTGTAGATTTTTCAGGTCACGATACAAAATGACCTCATTACACATATAATTTTGTCTCATCTCCTCTGTGGCTCCTTTTGCCCTAATTCGACTGCTCCAAGTTCATTTTTATCCAATAAGGACGGATAAAACCAGATACGAAGTCGACAAAAACAACTTAAACCTAACCAAATCATTTTTAGGATTCAAAATGATGTAATATGTAAAGTCTCCAGAGAAAAGCTGTCACTTATAAGAAGATTAAACTGCTGTCCTCAGGTCCCTTCCTAGTGAGTTTCACAGCTGTTTCTATGCAGGTTTCTGTCTAGGCTTCCACACGACTCAAGTGAGTCATGTGCCACATATCTTTAAAAAAAAAACGAAAAAGATGAAAAGTCAAATGTTAAGATCTGCTTTAAACTCTGTCTGTACTGACTGTTCTAATTATATTATAAATACACATGTACTAAGCCTCTCACACTTCCTTCTGTCTTCCAGGCTTTAATTCTCTCTCTGAGGACCAGTTCACTTGCTCCATCTGTCTGGAGATATTTGTGGAGCCCGTCTCCACACCATGCGGCCACAGCTTTTGCAAGGCCTGTCTACAGGGCTATTGGAACCACAGCAAGAAGTTCCTGTGCCCAATGTGCAAAAAGAGCTACTCTAGAAAGCCTGAGATGAGCGTCAACAGGGTCCTGGCTGAAATATCCTCCCAGTTTCAGGGGCTGACGATGGCTAAAAGCACCGCCTCTCATGGATCCAAATGGAATTTGAGCTCAGATACGGGCCAGAGCAGCTCGCCAGTGAAGGATACCGGAGAGTTTGCCCAGCCTGGGGATGTTTCTTGTGATGCTTGTATTGGAAGGAAGTTAAAGGCGCTGAAATCTTGTGTGAACTGCCCTGGGTCTTTCTGCGAGTCCCACCTCAGGCATCATAAGAAGGTGGGTTTGTTAAATGTTAATTAATTAAATAACCTAAAAGCAAATATTTCTATCAATTTTAAGAGCAACTGTATTTATGTCTCTGTACCACTCATGTCCATACTGTCCTCCAGGTCAGGGCAATGATGTCTCATCGTCTGATTGAACCAACTTTCCACCTGGAAGACAAAATTTGTAAGAAACACGAACGTCTCCTGGATGTGTACTGCCGGACCGACCACATGTGCATCTGCTCTGTCTGTGCCGATGCCACACACAAATCCCATGAGATTGTCTCCATTGACCATGAATTTAAGAAGAAGATGGTCAGTATCCCTGTATGACAAGATCATTAAAATGACTCCTGAGATATTTTTATAATATAAAAGCAGAAACATTTTGTAAGACACACCTCTGGTTTTTTTTGTCTCACAGGGTAACATGGGAAAGAAGAGATCAGAGCTGAAACATTTGATCAAGGAGAGAGCCAAGAAACTTGACGAGATCAAACAGTCCATCAAAGTCATAAAGGTAAGTCTAATAAAAACCTGCATGTGACATCATGGTTAAGCTACTAAGAAACAGAGATTAACTTAACAATTTTAAGTATTCAAGCCTTCATCAAACTAGCTTTGAACATCCAGACATCACAAAAATAATAGAATATAACATAAATATCGGTCATTGATTATGGTAAACATTCAGCCAACATTTCCAGTATTGGTCAGTATCGACATTTGGCTGACTGATCGACAGTCAGTGCTAAGAACTGTTTTTATGTAATTTTTGTCTAGTTTTCTATTCAGTAAAGAGTCAAGCTTTGAATCCAAATTAAAAAAGCAAATCGTGGATTTGCCTTACGAGTCCTTTTTTGTAAAAAATAATGTAAATTTTGTGTAACCTCCTGGTCACAAACAGCGTCCACAACAATTAAGCTTTTTACGATGATCTACACTGTTAAAAACTTGTAAAAACGCAATCTACTGTTTCAATATGAATTTTCCATACAACAAATTTTTTTTTCCCATTTCTACCCTAACAGTGTACAATCTTCCAATTTATAATTGTACACATTTTGTGCTGAAACCTTTTAAGTTATAGTTTCATTACAATTGAAAACCTAAATTTAACCCAAAGCTACAATAATATGCAAATACTCCTCAGCTACTCACTGACCTCGTGGTTTTGGTATGTGTGACACACACAGCATCTGTTGGGATTTTTCTTTTCAGGAATGCATTAACATGTACAGCTCTTTTGTCTTCAGAACTTAAGCTGGACACTGATCATTTAAAATCAAACTGAAACAGTTTTTTAATCAGAATCAACTATGCAGTTGTGAATAATCTATTGTCTTCTATTTTATGCTGTGTCATTATAACTGGAGTTGGTCTACGTTTGAGTTTGTTTGGAGTCTGGTATTTTTTAATGCGTCTGTTTCCTGGATACATTTTGTATGCCACTGATTTTTATCTGCTTGTGTTTTGAAGTCTAACTAGGGATAAGCATTTCAAGTGCTGTGTTTTGGAGCATGATTCGAGAAACACATTTGTGTCCACGATAAACTATATAGTTTTTTCAATCTAAAACTCCACTCACGTTTTGTTATCTCAGAAAGATTGCAAGCTGAATTCTTAAGCGTCGCACCAGTGCGGCATTTCCAAAGGCATCTTATCAGAAGTGGCTGATACAAACAGGCCAGTCCTTTTACACTTGTACATGTATTTGAAAACCAGTCTAATCGTTGCTGTTGTAAATATGTTTAAAGTGCATTTCAAATATTTGCCAGTCTGCTCTCATATAATGCTTTTCATTAGCTGAAGCTCAAAAGCCTTATTTGCACTTTAAGCAGCTTTGTGATCCAGAAAAAGCTGTTGCTCAAGGGCAGCTGTAAGAAGACCAGCAGCAGTTTATTGAAAGCCAACAGACACTTAAGTTTTACCCCTAATAATGTAGATTCATCTTTATTAGTCATCGAAGCAAGGTGAGCCAACTAAAAGACCTATGCTCCAGTACAAGCAGGACATATTTGAGGCGGGATGCCACCCACATCTCATACCTCTCATGCTCTGCAGTAGCAGATAAGGTGGAGCACGATTGTCATTTGTTTTTGTCTTGTGTACACACACTGAGATCCATGTCTGAGGCCGTCCAACCAGTGAGACCAGTGTAAACATTTACATTTAGTTTCTCACACACCCTGTTTCCAGCCACAGCCTCCCTGCAGTAAAATGCTACTTTGGAATAAGAAATGAAAAGATAACACGCCTGAGTGGTTTTCCAGGACAATTACACTAATAATGCTGGGAGTGTAACAGGTTTTACCAGGGTAACACTAAATATATCAGTTGTCCTATGTTTAGGTTTTCACATCTTGTCACATCTGGGTAGTTTTGAATTTGATGACACATGTGCAAAACATTCATGAGTGAAATTTCCTGGTTTCAGTGTTACTCTTGGTTTCCTCTTTCTGGAAACCTTTTTTCCCACAGTTCCCTCTGTGTTTACTGTACAAACACACGGACTCGTGTCCAGCTACATGCTGCTGACAGACTAAACAACACATTGAATTTATTGAGTAAGTTTAACATGAATGTAGCATCTAACAAATGTATCAGTTTGAGATGGAAAATTTGGTGGTTTCAGCACCTGACCTAATGGAAGATGTAACCTGTCAATCCAGTTGCACAAGTGGCGCGCAAAGACACTTAACAGGCAACTGACTAAGTAAACATCTGGTTTTTGGTTGTTTTTTTCAAACTGCAGTATTTACATGTTTATTTGCTAGAATCATTTTGGTAGTTTTATTTAATGCCTCTAATTCTGTCAATCATTACGTCAAACAAACAGAGACTCGTATAGAAACATATATACAACAATCAACAACAATCAACACCAGGCCAAAGGTGAGACAAATACATCATTAAAAAAAGGAACATTTAAACAAGAAACCTTTGATATAAAATGACATTTTATCAGGAGTCTACAACTTCATGCTAGCATTAAATGTGCAGGACAATAGTAATAATAAAAATAATGCTGTGTTAGCGTGTGATAAATAAAGGAGCAACTCCACATTTAGTGTCATTTAGAAACAGTAGCAGAAAACTTAAAGTAAAATTTCCAGAGGTTTGCTCCAGGTATGTAAAAATCTGTATGTTACATAAAGATGTTTATGTAATACTTGTCTCTTATCACTCTAACTGGCTAAATAAGGTGCAATTACTCATGTCAAACCCTGAACTTTGAAGAGAACAAACAAATAAAGATGCCGGTCATCTAAATTGCAACATGAGAGTTGTTTTGTGCAAAGTCGTAATTGTGAGTGGAAACCAAGTTCATTTAATGGGGAACTTAGTTTTTCATGTCAAAGATTTAAAGGTGCAGAATAACATGCTGTGAAGCTCCACGTGTAAAACAACAGTTAAGTTCCTACAAGGACACACCGGCCGAAGGGTCTGCAGACAAAAAGTGACTCCCAAAGTGACTCCCAAAGTGAGCCTTGGCGATAAAGTGAACCTTTGAGGCGTTTCACCTCAAACAAATGACATATTTTAATGTTTAAATGAAATGTGACCCTATGCTCTTGTCATTTGGAAGAAAAAAAAGAGTTCAAATGGAGCGATGGCTATCAGGGAGTGCAACAATAAAAGGAAATAATTCAGCATAAGCTGACTTCACATGTGAAATCAGGTTTGGACACTCTCTAAAATTTCCTACAGAACATGAGGTCCTAAAAATGTAGGGTGGTGTCTAGGTAGAGAACACAGAAGGTGGCATGTATGATGCATACTCACAGCAACTGTTCCCCACATAAACATACGTCTATTCAAGCCAATATAACTGGAACTTTGTGCAAAAGAGCTGGCATTTTAAAGGCTAATGTCTGATGCGGCTGCATCAAACATTTGCATTTTCATGTGCTTCTCAGAGTTGTGGCTCAAGTTAATCTCAAAGATCCTGCATTCCCACAATGCAGTTTATATAGTAATGTTTGTATAGAATGTTCTCTACCTCATTAACGCCACGTACAAGACAATAAATAACTTCTTCCACAGGATTAGCACTATCTCAACCTGTCCTCCAAGCTCCCCTGTAAAAGGAGCCGTGTTACTCAGTAACTTCTAGACTCTGGTTAATCTGTAAGAACTTTGTTGTTAAGAATACACAGGCATTCCTCCTTAAACCCGGTCTTCGGTCTTGAACACAATCTGATCTGGACTGAGCTTTTCTCATGTTCACACTGGTAACACTGGCCATGTGGTGCTCACATTCACAGGCCAGTGCTCAGAAGGAGTTGGAGGAAAGCTGGCAGGTGTACGCAGAGCTGCAGCGTCTGGTGGAGCAGAGTCAGGCGGAGCTGGTTGAGCTGATAGCCACGAGGCAACGTGAGGCGGAGCGTCACGCCCAGGAAATGGCCAGGGGTTTGGAGAATGAACTCAGCCAACTGAGGAGGAGGAGCAATGAGCTAGAAGCCCATGCACAGATGCACGACAAAGTGCTTTTCCTTCAGGTACTACAGCGCTCCATGTGGGTCTAACACACACTGGCATGCAGACAGGTCCAGGTCTTGAGAGAGTATCTTCACGCTTTGGATGCTTTGGATGCTAACTTTATTTTTCTGTACTAAATATAGCTAGCCTTTAAAGTTCTTGCTTTTCCAGCTTGGCCTACATACTGAAAACGCAATTACTGTGCATTTGGGGCAGAGAATTTTATTAGAAGGCTAAAGACTTCACAATAATGGAAATCTCACAGGCATCTAAAACACAAGACTTTCTACCCTTGTGATTTCACCAGAAAAGCCTGAATAATATCATATGGATCATATTATACTGAACATATCTCTGTTTTCCTGTTCTGAAAACTGTATACACGCTTTACTTTTAATTGCAAAGCCAATTATTTACCTCTGTGGCTGCACCAGCTGTGTTTGCTCAGAGATTTTGAGACACAACATCAAAAGCCTCCATGAGCAGACCGAGCCTGTTATGGCCATTCCCCCATGTGAATGAATAGATGTCTTTGAAGTTGCTACTTTAGAGGTTTTCTACATAGCATCAATGGAAGTGAAGGCATGAAGCCTCGAATACCCAGACACATCAAAGCTGAGAGTAAGCAGACCAGTGCATCTCTTTTTGATAGACAGGGAATTTACTTACCACATCTGGACAATGCCCTGTACTGAGTTCTCTCTTATTTTCCCGTCAGAGCAATAATGTGTCTCTGTTCTGTGTTTCCCATTACCAAAATTAAATAGGACAGCACTGAGCACACTGTTGGCGTCATATTTAGTGTGTTCTTTTCATTGTAAACTTTACTTCATTTCCTTTGACGCACCATTCATCTTACCTTGCATGACCTCTCTATTTCACGTAGAACCTGACATCACTGTCACCCCTACCCGAGCCCACTGATTGGTCAGCGGTCAGCATCAATACTGACCTGTATCTGGGAACCATCCGGTCTTCGGTCAGCAGCCTCATTGATAAGTTCCAGGATGAGCTTAAAAGAATATATGGGAAAGGTAAGGGCTAGCCAAACTTGTGACCTAATGCACTTATGCAGCTATTATAACCTTTGTATTTGAGAAACTGTACAAAACAACTAGTGCAGCATTATCATGCCTACAATGCTAGAAGCAGAGCATGGTTTACATATAGACTTGCCACTTTATTAGGTGCTTACTTAGACTTAGATCCTCCCGCAACGATCGGCACATCGGGCGACAAGAGAATGGTCCATCGCGGCGGTTACTGTTTCATCCCATGACAGTTCAACTGAATGTAATTCTTCAAGGAAAGTACTCCTCCACGTTATTTTGGGTCTTCCTCGCCGTCTCTTTCCATTCCTTGGGTTCCACAGAAATGCGATGCGGGCGGGTCTGTGGAATTATTATTATTATTGTTAGGTGCACCGGTTCAAAAACTCATTAATTGAAAATACCCAATTAGCCAATCACATGTCAGCTGAGCTTCAAACCATGAAGATCAAAATGGGGAAGCGACTTGCAACATGGTTAATGCTGCCAGATGCGCTCAATATTAGTACAGCTGATCTACAGTCATCTCTACAGTTTACAGAGAAAAGTCTGAAAAAGAGAAATTATCCAGTGAGCAGCAATTATCTGGGAGAAAATGCCTTATGCCTGTTGATGTCAGAGGAGAATGACTGGACTGCCTTTAGCTTATAGGAAGGCAACAGCAACAAAAAACACTCATTACAAACAAGGTTTGCAGAAGAGCATGTCTGAGTAGACAACAAGTCAAACCTTGAAGCCAGTAGCGGTTTTTGATACGGGCAACACGGGTGGTTGCCCGGGGCGGCATCACGGCAACGGCCAAAACAAACAAAAAAAATGCTCATACTCATGCTGCCCCGACGTCATGCCAGCGCATATTGGGAATGGCATAGGCACCGATCGATTTTCTATCGCCCATTTGCTGGGAGTAAGGGCATCCTCGTTTGCGAGGTGCGCCTGCTGCTTGCGGCACAGGGAAGAGTGGGCAGGGCGGCGTGGGATTCACTGGTGGCTGGAGCAGCATCTAATAACTCGCAATAGCTCATCAGAGGGAGTGTTTGCCCAGGCCACCAAACAGGCTAGGACCGCCACTGCTTGAAGCAGAGGACCATGCCAGGTCCCACTCCTGTCAGCTGGGAAAAGGGAAATGTGGCTATGACTGACACAGGCTCATCAAAATTAGACAATAGAAAACTGGAAAAAATGTTGCCTAAACTGATAAGTCATGATTTCAGAGTGTAGGTGCAAACAATATGAACGCATGGATCTTAGCCCTTTAGTTCCAACAGAGCATCATTTAAACCCTAGTGCATATCATGCAGGGCTAGAAACATTTAAATAAATACCTTACATAATATTAGCACATATTCAGCAAAATCTTTTGTGAATCCTTTTTCTGAAAGCACTTTTAAAAATGAGCGATCTGAAATGGCTCATGTTTTATGTATTAAATGCAAATCAACATGCGTGCAATCATTTGGAAAAGAGTGTTTTGAAAAATGTTCATAGTCACGATGAGTATTTTCCATTCTGCGTACGCTGCATACAGTTCCGTAGCTTCAAGTACCCCTTTAAACTGAAAATCAAACTCGCAGCAGGCTTTGCTGGGATCCCTGCATGGGATAATGAATGCAAAGTTCTAGTACAATCCATCGTCCCTTGTCTAATACAAACCACACATCCTGTGCAAAATCCAAATCGGTGATATGTAGGTCACTGTACGCACACTTTGGAATGGAAAAGTGACTCATCATCGCGCCACACTCACACGGTCACACATGCAAGACGGTTGGACAGATGGAGATAGTGTTGATGCCGCAGATCATCCACTTGGGATCGCTGGAAGAGGCAGCTGACTGACAGCGGCACATGCATCGAGCATTTAGAGCTCTGGTTCAGATCTGTGTGTTTACCACCCACACGTGCCATCTGCTGTGACTTTGACACTCTCTCTCTCTCTCTCTCTCTCAGAGCTTCGGAAGGTGCAGAACTACGCATGTGAGTAACACTTCTACTCTGTTAGCTGGGTGACATCCATGGTTTGTAGCTATAATTCTTCTAGGGAGCACATTCGTGCCACTTGTACATAAGGGTGTTAAAGGAAAGCAGGAGGCCTCTCTTGAGTAGATGATGATGCTCATTTCTTCTAAATGCCCACAAAATGGAAGTAATTCTTCACAGCAGAGATGGGATTGCTCCCGTAGATTGCTGCCAGTTTACAGACACCCTTGTGGCATGTTCAGGAATAAGGAGCCCATTATTTATTTATTTTTAAGCAGAAGTGGCGATAAATAATGCAGATTTTTCTCCCTGTCTCATATTCTGCTCCTTCCTTTTCAGCTGAGGTGATTCTGGACCCTGCCACGGCCCAGAGGAACCTGACTGTGACTGATGATGGTCAGCAGGTGAGGTATGAAGAGCGCAAGTCCACTCACTCTGAGGGTCCAAAGCGCTTCAGCCCGGCCCTCTTTGTCTTGGGCCGGGAGGGGATCAGCACGGGGCGACACTACTGGGAGGTGGATGTATCGCGAAAGACGGCCTGGACGCTCGGCGTGGCCCGCGCTTCTGCCCGACGCAAGGGTGAGATCAAGCTGAGTCCCGAGGGTGGGTACTGGTGCCTGTGGCTGAAGAACGGGGAGGTGAAAGTGCTGGCGTCGCCCCGCTTGCCTCTAGTGCTGCCTTCCCAACCCAGTAAAGTAGGAATCTTTCTGGATTACGAAGGAGGCCAGATTTCTTTCTATGATGTGAAGGCTCGTCTGCATATCTACAGTTTTATCGATAGCTTCAGTGAGAACCTGTACCCCATCTTCAGCCCCTGTCTCACCCAGGAGGGGAAGAATAATGCCCCACTCACCATAACCCATGTTAAACACAGCTGAGGGTATAGTCAGTCGGTATTAGGTTATGCATTCTGTTTATATATAAAACATTTTTTATACACACCACCATCACTTTCTCAGCATATTACTGGCTATTTTCTGAGGTAAATTCTTTATTGACTGATACATGTATTATAATGGTACATTTACAATTTATTTAAATGTAGCCAGTTTTTTCTTTGCACTATCATCTGTTAACTCAAACTTGGATTACAGTAAAGAAGAAATATGTAGTGGTGTGAAAACATGTGAAGGACAATAAATCATTATTTTTTTTGCTTCTTACTTGATGATAGATGAGTTTGAGTAAAGCTGGCACTTTCCCTACTCTGTAAGTCTTTGTGTAACTGCAACTCTAAGGCTCGGAGAGCCAAGTAATGAAGTTAACAGATGCAAACTTCGTTTCTAGTGATTTAGACTTTGCCTGGGGAATCAAATCAAGGTTTCTTGTACTTGTACCTACCTATTGTAATTAAGACTGTATCCTGTGGACATTATTGTAAAAACTAATATAGACACACAGTAAGTGGGTATAGCATGGGGAGACCAGTGCAATCATTTTACAGCTTTAGTTACTGTAACTATTTTGCACATCAAAAGTAATATAAAACACAGTTATCTGCTTTTTTCATATAACAGAATCTGTATTAATGTTGTATA